GCTTTTTTTTTTTTTTTTTTTTGTCCTTTTTGAGACCGCCCGCACCGCGCTTAGCCAGTGAGCGCTGTGAGTGCACCGGTCATCCCTATATAGGATCCGAACCCGCTGCGGGAGTGCTGCTGCACTCCCAGCACCGCACCCTCCCAAGTGCGCCACGGGCTCAGCCCTTCCCGTGGCCTTTAATGTAGCCTTTGAACATGTTCTGCCGGTGCCCTTCCTGACCGTGTCCCGTGTGGGACGTGACCAGCTGTTTAGAGAGATCGCTCCTACTAATGGTATGCCACAGTGATGGCTACTGCAACCACTCAGACGGCAAGATCACGGCAAGTGATTGGAGATATATGCAGGGACAAGCGGTCTGAAGAATCAGGCTGACTGCCACTACTCTGCAGAGATCTAAGTCAGAAAGATGACTTCCCACTTGGACAGGAGCTTACTGATTCTAGTTTCCTGCAGCCAGAGTTTTGACTCAATTCTTACCAATACCACAGGTTCTCAAGAGATTCTGATGGCATGCACTGGCATTTTTTGTATTATTCTTTAAAAACCTAACATCTACAGTATTGGCCCCTGGGCACTAAATGATTTCTCTTTTATAGAAAATCCACATGACATCTTAGGAGACAGACCAGCGTCCTTCCACATTGACCTCTCAAAGGGAGCCTGCTTTAATATGCACACGGCCAGGGCCCACAGCCATGCCCTGCAGACCTGGGCTGCGCTCTCTGCTCGGGACCCGTCACTGTGAGGAGGAGCATGCCACATCTCTGATGTCAGTGGCAGTTCCCATACTAATGCCAGACATTTATAACTTCAGCCCTGACCATTTCTTTACGTTATCCAAAGGCTACACAATGCATTCCTGAGGATGTCCACCAGGACTGCCACTCAACGAAACCAAAATTAAATCCAGGTTCACACTCCCAAGCCAGCGCCCCAACTCCAATGTCCATCACTTGCATGGCAGTTCTACTCTATGATGTTAAAAACTTCAAAGCCACTCTCAGCTGCCCTGAGTGCTGTATCCCTTAACCCAACAATCAACCACATATCCTTGGTGGCACCTCACCCAGACGCCCTGCTTCGCATCCATGCCGCAGCGAAGTCCTGCCCCGTTTGCCTATGCTCACTTACAGCAAGGCGCCTCTAGTTAGTGTCCAAGTTCTCCTCTTTCTTAACCCCACACTTGGACTGCTAAACCTTGTTTCCAGCCTGACGCCTGGTCAGGTTCCCTGGAATGGAGAATCAGAGAACTGCACACTGATGGGCTGCAGGGGATGTCATCACACTCCCAAAGCCCCATCTACACATAAAGCAGATAAGACACTGCAGACCGGGAGGTGAAATGGTGTGCCAAGGTCACACGTTTGCCAAGTCTTTTGGCTCTTAGCACAACTCCTTCTTTCTAAACGAAGTGTGTCCACCTGTCCTGGCCCTGAATTACTTATCTGTTCTATTTCTTACTGCTTCCCAACACCTGCCCACACCCCTTCAGCCCCTGCCACTCCCTACTGTCTGTGCATATTTCCAGACTCGACTCATCCACCGAGCTGGCCTCCTAGCTCACCTCCCTGGCTCGGGCAGAGCTCTTGGTTAGCCTGCCCACTATCAAATTCTCCTGCCACCTTGTCCTGCAAGGGGACCAACCAAACACTGGGTTTTATGAAGTAATGTGATTCCTAGGGTGTTCCTGCTGCTTAAAAAAGCCTGGAGTACAAAAGAAATTGGAATAAAGTGGTCGGCTATTCCAGAAGACATTTCTAAAAGGACATCTGTTTTCAGTTAAGCACCATTCAACACATATAAACAGATCACACAATATCAAAAACATAAAAGATCAAATTGAAGGAGAAATTACTTGACAGTGCCCTTTTAAAACACACGTCGAAGAAATGACCAAATATGAAAGATCACAATATTCAAATCCAGCAGTTCTCAAACTTTTGGTCTCAGGAGCCTTTTACACACTTACAAATTATTGAGAACTCCAAAGAGCTTTAATTTATCTGGGTTTTATTTATCCAGATTTACTCTATTAGAAGTCAAAACCAAGAAAAATTTTGATTAATGTTCATTTCAAAAATAATGAACCCACTACATTATCTTAAATAAAAATTTATGAAAAATTACTATAGAAAACAAAAAACAAGTGATGTCGTTCTGCGTTTTTGGAAATCTCGCTCACGGCCGGACCCTGCATTCAATTGGTTGTGGTGTTACACATGGCAGGGCTTCTGGAAAGTTCCTCTGTTCACTCATGAGGGAATAAGAGTGAAAAAGGCAATAATGTCTCAGAATCAATGCGAACCCCTGAAAGCATCTCGGTGACTCCAGGAGACCCTGGACCACACTTTGAGAACCACTGTTCCAATAAAATTGATCAACTCAGTCACCATAGTGTTTCTTTTTAAAGTTCGGTCTGTTTTCAAATTAGCATTTTCAATGTAGCTGGTCAAAAAACGAGCCACACTACCTTCAGCTCATGTTTCTGCTTTAGCTGCTGAATCTCTACCGCTCCCACTGTGCTTGCCACCAAATCTTTCATCTTTCTCTCATAGTGCTCCTTTAAACGGGCTAGGTCATGAGAAAGCTACAGCATAAAGAGACACAATCTTTCACAAAAAGGCTGTTTTTGGTACTTTGAGACAATCTTACATTGAAAGAACTTCGGCAGCGTCTGGCGGATGGCGTTCACACGCCACGATTCTCCTGGGACGGGGGCTCCTGGGACCACACATGGTGCAAGAGCCCCTACTACTAGCCCCTCTGGTTCTTGAGAGATAAATACAGAAATAAGTAAAACATATCATCAAAAGACAGATGCTATTTCAGATGAGCCAGACTGGGGACTTTTCCATGCCAAACAAGAGAAAATAAATGCACAAAAAATATCTCCATAAAATCATTCATTTACATTTTGATGGAATCAAAATTATCAAATACACGAATTATACGTAAAATTCTTCTTTTATGTCAGCAGCCAAGCAAAAGACACTTGTATTCAAGACTGTCCTGAAGGGTGGTATAATTTAGAACGGCCAATGCAGATTTGTAAGTCTCCAAGCTGACGTACCTTTCTCTCTAACAGACGGGGACAGAGTATAAGGTCTCGTAGGTCATTGTTCACGCAGTCACAGACATGTCAAATACACAACACTGAAGCCCCACTGCTCTTCTAGGAGGCATTTCTCATGCCAACCAAGACAAGGGCACTTTAAGAAGTTTTTAATAAAAATGTGAGACTGTTTTTGAGATGATTCTTCAACTATTTATAGCTTTATTTTGGTAGTTTTTAAAATATGACTTAAACTAGAAAACTTGGTACTTCTTGCGGCAATTCCATCTTGAACAGGCCTATCCCAAAAAGGCACCCTGTCTACACCCCATCGAGCATTCTCATCCCCTCTCCAGGGTGTTGTTCTAGCAACGTGGAGACATGGAGAAAGATGGAAACGCGTGCTCTGTGTTCCTTGTTACTATCCTGCATTCCTGAACGAGTTCCACGCCGGTCTTTCGATTGTCTCTTCTCCTCGCAGGGAAGGCTGCTGAACCATCCCACATGCTCACTAGGCATTTCAGGTGGTTCGTTTGTGAACACAGGTCCATTCTGAGGCCAAGGAGGGACCAAGACCTGACCTAACCCAGTTTGTCTATAATGACCTCAAAGATGAAATGTACGAGAGTTTCAACAAGTGTTCCCAGACACCCACTGAACACCCTACCTGCTGAAATCAGAACCCAATGCATTCTTTTTAAATCTCAACTTGAAGAGTGTCTGCTTTGGCTGTATCAAGTCAAAATCACTGGAGTTGTCAGCTCCGTTAAAAACTACAATCGCAGCTCCACTCACTGGTTAAATCTCAGTTGTGATAACTATGGTGACAGGAGAGATCTAAGTTCCTGGAAAAGCTCATTCATAATACTGAGTAGTTGAGCTGTCCACCACAAGTTGACAGATATTCTTCAACTTGTAAACCACAGTGACACGGAGGCTGCATCCAGCACGCAGCCTCTGGTGGTTGGGGGTTCCTGGGGGGCAGGTGGGGCACAAGTGGTTATCGCTACCTGTCACAGTGGTGAGGCGTCAGGTCACAGTCTGCGTCAATACCAACGTCGGACCAGCCAGCCTCAGGCAGGGACTGTATGTGACCTGCATCTTGACCTCACACGGGAAGTACATGAAGAATACTGACATTACTGTGGACATCAGTACAAACTGACCCTCTTACTACAGCCTGAAAAGACCTCCACCAACAAAAACTGTATGACACAGCCAGTCACCAGCAAAAACTGAAAACCTCAAAGGAATGATCTGCCTTGGCTGATGCCTCCAGACCCAACATCTCACAGCAATCCCACTCCAGAACTCACTCTTCAAAGCTTGAACGTTCTCTTTGGAACCTAATCTCAGGAGTTTTCCGCAAAAAATAAAATAAATTCCCTTTAAGAAAACAATCACGGGGCAGCTTAGGAACTTTTGTCCTTTCACATCTTTTCACATTATCTGCATTTATATCTTCCTGTTCACACTGAAAATGCTGAAGCTCAAAACATCACTTAGAGAAAAGTGCCTTGCACTGTGTCCTGGGCAGCCCTGATTCGATCTAACCAGTGTGCTGAGCAAGCAGCAGCAGTGCACAAGTCAGTAGTGCAATGCAAGTCAGTCAGCAAATACTATTTACCTTCTTAAAATATTCAAGACAGTGAGCTTGCTTAAGGCCTTTTAAGTGATTTCGTTCATAAAAGTTTAACTTCCTGATCCTCCATGATTATACTTATTATGTGAAATAAGATACCTCCTCCTTTGCCAATACCTTATGCTCTCCCCAGAAGTCCCACTCACATGATAATGTAAGAACCCACTGTCCGTCACACTCCCAGACTGAACACGTACTTGCTTTTTGTGGTTGCTGCGCAGGAAGGACCTGGGCATTCCATTCTTGCACTCTGAGTCACTCTGCTCTTCATAACTTTCAAATTCACTTGAACTCCATCCATATTCCAAAGAGCTGTTTCCACCTTCATCTCCATTCTCAACGTCGTCATAAATCATTTCATCTGAACATATAAATTGCAGAATGAAAATAAAAATGTAGAATTCACTAGCGTGTTTGCTTGTTTTACTATATCACCTAGAGTTGGGGGTGGAAGCACATCAGAATAACTTGGAGGAACAGTACAGAGCCTTGGGTACACTCATCTGGAAGGTGTTACAAGAACCTACGCCATGCGGGCAGGGATGTGTTCAGCTTGAAAAAGTTCTTCAGGTGATTTTGATAAATTCCCCTGCCCCACCCATATCCTGATGACAGTGTCTGGTCCTCCACGCTTATACCAAATAATGTGCTGGCAAGAGAGAACTTCCCATGAAGGAAAATGTTTCTTCATATAAATGTATGGAATATAAAAAAGATCAGATAGATAAACAGACAGATATAAACAGATGACAAATAGATGAATGATAGATGATGTATGGATGGATAGAAAGATAAACGATAGAAAGGTAGGTAGGCAGACAGATGAATGATAAATGACAGACTGACGGATGGATGGACAGACAATAGGTAATAGATGACAATGGGTGGGTGGGTGAATAAATGGATGATGACAGATGATAGCTGGCTAGCTAGATGAGCGAAAGGTAGGTAGGCAGACAGATGAATGATAAATGACAGACTGACGGATGGATGGACAGACAACAGGTAATAGATGACAATGGGTGGGTGGGTGAATAAATGGATGATGACAGATGATAGCTGGCTAGCTAGATGAGCAAGATATTAAAGTACTAACAGAAGTGAAGCTCACTTCAAAAAAGTATAAATTTTGCTTTTGTGCTAAAAACGACCTAATAAAACTTATAAATAATCTGCTACGGTATTTGCATGGTTTTATCACATCAGTCATTTCAGAATTGGTGGAAAACATCATGTTTATGCTACCAAATACAGTGACAACCTTTATCTAAATATCCCAAGGGCAAGGTGCATGTCTTTTATTTCATAACCTGTATTCTGCAAATGTGAATTAAACTGAGCTATGCTGCTAAAGTGGGCCACTGTCCACTCCCCTGGCAAGCAAAAAAGACTTGATACCCACCCTTCTTCAAACAGATGCAAAGGCTTCGACTGCAAGAGAAGTAATGTTGTAATGTGCCCTGATTAATATAAAAAAACACACAGTGCAGCAAAAAAAATACATATGGATTTCCTGTTTTCAGTGCTATATCACTAGCAATAAGACTTTCACAGAGTGAAATGATGTTCTTCCAACTCTCAGAATATCAGTGTATCTCCAATTTCTATTCTCAATCACATGAGCATAATGGCTTTTATTTTAGCTAAAGTTTCTCACGTGTAAATTACTTCTGAAGACTAATTCCTGCTTAAATTATCACCTAAGGACAGTACAAATTTACATGTAAGATGCCATTTCCATATTTTTTCCTTAAAAATAGATTCATATTTCTGTATTAAATTTATTCCATATACATCCTCAACTGTTCACTGTAATAAAACTTGGCCTTTAAAATCCTAAGTAATTAAGCACTGATGAATATAATTCTTTAGGACAAAGAGCAAGCTCAGTATATACAATGACATTCAAAAGTAAACACTTGCTTTCACTGGAAATGAGAAACTAGACATGAACTTGTCACTTAAAGAATTCCTAGATTCCCTTTATGGGCCAGCTGCCCATCGCCACCCCCCAAAAACATTCCTAGATAGTTCGAATTACCCTAGCCTTGTAATATTTCTCCACTGAATTCAGATTAATCTTCTAGAATACACAACAGGTCCTCCAAATTCCTGATTAAAAGCTCTGAAGAGGAAATACCACACGGATAAAACTATGAAATGTTTGAAAATGAGCTCATGTTCCAGAAGCTGCAGTGGTATTCTTCAGTTTGCCCCAGCAGCAACAATGACCACCACCTGGGAATTCAATTCAGTGAATGAAGGGGTCAAGTCCTAGCCCAGCCACCTGAAAGCTGGGGCTAAGGGTCATCCAGAGCTACCCAAGCGTCTAAGAGTAGAAGGGCCTGGAACTCCTGCTATGAACTAGTGAGTTCAGAGAAAGGCCTCCCAGACAAACCCACAGTGTTCCTGCACTGTCCCTCCCGGCATGTTTTAGAAATCCCAGCACTACCTCCTCTGCCCTATTCACTGTATTCATCCATCTCTGGACTTCCAGCTCTTCTGGTCTACATGAAACAAGTCAGTATTATGAGTATACAGTTTCTGGGGGTTTTTTGGTTTCTTTTTTTTTTTTTTTAAACACATTACTCTTTTCACCTCAATTGGATTTTTTTTTTTTTTTTTTTTTTTTTTTTTTTTTTTTTTTTTCCTGTCCGGCA